TTCTTTTGTGGTCACTTAACATTAGTTAAGTGAGATCGAGTGGGTATTAGTTCGTCTATCTATTCAACTCCATTAATTACCAAACTTTACCCGAAAGTCTGGAATATTATTCTAGGAATATTTCCATTTTTATTTTTATATTTTGGGTACTTTCGTCAGTACCCATTTATACCCCTTAATTTGCACTGAGTACACTTTTTAACTCCAAAGTGACTCAGATTCATTTAATTAAGCCTTATACTTACTTTTACTCACTAAAACATGCTTAATTATTTAATTACATGTAATTTGCTAATTAATTAGGTTAGGGCTATTATAGTATACACTAAAGGTCGACGGTTCAAGTCGCCCAGACCACCGATTAACCGAGTATATCCGATAGGTTTTCACTAGAGAAGGTTCAAAGGTAACTCTATCTATCTCGATGCAGTTGTTTCTCGTTGAGGAAATTACACTTTGCATTTATATTCTTATGCATTTTATTCACGATGAATTGACTTCTTATCCATGTGGGGGATTGTTGGAATTTATGTTGAAATTGTGTAGATAATCTATTGGTTATGAATAAGAAGTGGGTTAAGGAAGAAAAGAGAAAAAGGAAGTTGAAATGGTGTGTGGGTTTAAGAAGTCCCACATTGGACAACTAGTAGGACGGCTCGACTCGAATCAGTTCGGTTCGTACGTGTGTGTAAAATAAAAACAATTTTTTATTAAATTATTTTTTAATTTTTTGTCCAAAATGCCCTTGCGAACTATTTGTTGCTTCCCTCCAATTTTTCAAACCCAAACGTTTCTACCCGCTGATTTTTTGAGCGTTTTGAATCGAACCGATTCTTACCTTTCGCGAACCGGTGACCGGTTGTACCTGTTCACCGAACCGGTCATCGATCGTACCCATTCGCGGCCGTCAAACACAGCAGTTTTCCCCCGGCAGCGGTTCATCGTGATCGGTCGGAATCTATAAATAGACCTTGACCCCCCAGAAAAACTATCCAATTTTCTGCACTGTTACTCTGCCGAAATTTTTCCTTCTTCCGATTTGAATTTTTCTTTCCGATTTTCGGTGTACTTTCCTCTGGAAATTGTTGTGTTCATTTGGACTGTTGACTGGTAGTGCCACCACTCTTCAGACGAAATCTGTTCTATCTTGGGAGACTCTTGTCCATCAACCTTTGGCAGCAGTGAGGGGGCAAATTGTCTTAAGGAGACACGTTTTGTGGGCTCGGAATTAATTTCTCATACTACATACATTCATCTGTCCGTTCCATTATACTGACAACAAGTAAGTCTGTTCTAATTTTCATAATCGCAGTGTGTATGATATTTCTGATATTATCTCTCATGTCCTATACATGAATTCAAATCTTTTAATGATGTAATATCATCCACTGTCTTCAAATAACAATGCTTAGTTTAAATTTTAAAGATAGGGACGCATGTAGATTTGGATGCATTAAATTTGTAAAATGCTGAAATTGCATATAATAGTAATGTGATAATATAATCTCCATCCAAAGTAATGGTGTCACTAGTCGACTGTCAAAATTAATATATATTTGAAAATTTTAAATGACCAACGTAATACAAAAATAATATTAAAATTATTAACAGATAAAGCAATACCAAATATCTCACCAAAAAAAAGTAATACCAAATAAAAATATTATTAATCAGAGTGTCTTCTCCCAGTCACTAAAGATCAAAAGAGATATATATGGTTGAAACTCTGACGCTAAGCTCATGGTCTAATTACTATGCATGAACATTCACTTCTTCCTCGAATAATCCTTATTAAAAATAAATAAATAAATAAATAAAATAAATCAAAGTAAGAATCAATAATTGCGAAGGAAGTGGCCAGACTAGTGCCTTAAGCGGAAAAGAGGGCAGCCAGCGGGCAGCCACTTTTTATATTTTAGATTATCTATATTTCTACGATATTTGAATAAAATTATATTCATACACTAATTACAAACATTTTTGTAAGTTATTAAATAATATTTGGGTCCCATTACAACTTTAATGTTTATGCACATTTATATCATGTATAATCTATACTAGTATTTTTTTTTTTTTTTTTTTGTGATTTAGAGTTTAGATTAAGAAAAGTTGTCTCGCGCGGTTTAAAGTAACATAACTTGTGGTTAAGGCCTTAAGGGGCAATCACCCTCCTTCTCATCTCAAAACCAGCATCAAGCTTTACAAATGACGTAGTATGAATTTATATTATTTTCTTTTATATTCAAAAAACTTTAATTAAAATTTTTCTGAGGAAAGTTAAAAAAGGGGATTATTTCAACGGTAAAGTGGGAATTTCCTCCTTTTGCGCATGCACATATATACTACGGATTGTGACAATGACGGACCCAAATTTTTTTATTTGTGTCTGCATATTTAGTGACAGAGTTTGGGGGCAGCGCCCTCCAACTTTTTTTTTACAAAAATTTTAAATGCATTAAAAAATAAAAAGAGAATTTGCACTCTTCATCACCATTAACACATTTGGAATTGTTATAGAGATATTTATCTTATAGTGTTTCTCTTTAACTCCGCAAAGAAGGATGAAGTATTTATTTTATAACTCCATATTCATAATATTTTCCTTTTAATTTTTTTAATTAAAATTAAATGTTTTTAATTATTATATTAACAAAGGCTAGAATGGTCCTAGAAATTTGTGTTTACAATAAAAATTCCAACTATAGCATATCTTTATCTACAGATCAACAAAGTTAAATATGAATCTCTCTTATAAAAATGCTTTCTTATGTCGGTTTGACTATTGAAATACACATTATTTCAAAATGCATATCCATTTTTTCAAAAATAATTTCTCTAGTCCTCCCCTCTCTCCTCCCCCTCCTCTCAAAAGGTGTATTGGTCTGGGAGCACTACATATTTGCTCCATTTTTTCTAACATAACTTTATATTATGGACTGATGGACATATGTTATGTGATGAACAAATCTTTATGGGATGCGCATGTATAAGCAACATGTTTTATGAGTAACATGTCGTGATATCTGATCGCAACTTTTTTCTTTTTATCTTTCTTCAAAAATTTATGACTGTACTTGCAGTCACTTGCAATAACATAGGTTCACTATTAGGTAATACATAATTATAATATTATTGTCATTTTGCAATCTATTTTTAATATTCACAGTTTAAAAATAACTTTAATATTATAACTATGCATTACACGTAGTACATAGTTAAAAAAATATGTGATTGGAAAAAACCTTATATCCAGTCACATGACATCCACTTAACCCATATATATATATATATATATATATATATATATAAGCAATGAAGAAAAAATTCTTTAGGACCTTAAATTTTTATTCCTAAAAACATTTTCAAAACAGTTTTGTTTGGTTTTTTTTCCCCCGGCATTGGTGGTGGATGGTACAGTCCTACAAAGTACAAACATATATAGGAATAGGATTGACGCTTTAACTTTTAAGCCAAAGTATGGTTCTTCCATGGCATAGAATAGAAAACAGCCTATATTTGACACATTCCAACTGAAATGCTCTTTTGGGACTTCAAAAAATACACGGTACGGTTTTGATTGGTTACTACATTACTAATTAACCAACAATAGCTATTGTTGAAGCATTTGGCAAACCTAACCTTTGAAGGTGTGTTTAGGGTTTGTCAAAATTTGTTTCACAACGTTTCAATTTCAGTAGGATTGCATTTTGAGGGTTTTAAACCTTTAGGTGAGGACCCCTTCAATTCAAGCTTCAATTGACAGGTATATATATATGTTTCCTTGTTATTTAGTTCTTCTCGTTTGTTTGATAATTGTTGCAATGTCATATAATTTTCGGCTTTCTTTGTTTTGGATTTCTCATTTTAATTTTATGAGAAGTTATTTCGTTCGGAATATGTTTATCAATTATTCCAAACACAAGCTAGCTAAGTATATTAATTTTGAATTTAGTCAAGCAATTTATTGTATGTATAAGATCATGTTTAATTTGTACATTAAGAATTCGTATCGATCTCCATCCCATTTCAGCAATCTTGCATGTTTTTTTTATAGGGTAAGATAAATGGCACAAGTATCTAACGGGACTATGCACCGTGAATTATCGATATATATGGAGTAAATTAGAGTCAAACCAACAAAGCCGACATAATTAGTAGATAGCTGGGTTCTTTAAGCATGTTGACAGGGGTTCGATTCTTGACTATGTATATGAACACGGGTTCGATTCTCGACTGTGTGTATGAAAAATACTTTATTAATAGAGGCTGGAGAGAATTAGTCTTTAGCTGTCGGCCGGAGAATTAATCTCTAAAACCGGAGAGAATTAGTCTTTAGCTGTCGGCCAGAGAATACGATCAATTATAATCAAAAAATTATCAGCGTCAAGAAAAAAGAATACTTACATATAACGTGTTAGAGTGTGATATTAGGCATCTGTTATCCGGACATGTGTGTCGCATATGTATATGCCAATCAATGTGGGGGCTAGTCCCAGAAGATTTTGTATTATCAGAACCAAGTAATTATAGCATCATTTTCAGTTGCATGGTCATAGTCGATTAATTAGAAGAGGTAGGTATATTTCCTCTTCAAAAAACTTTGACAAAACTAAATCCTTTGCATGTTTTGATTGGTGTTAATCATGTTATCCCTAAAACCTTTTTAAAAAAAAATTATAACTTTTTTTTTTTCACCAATCATTTTTTCTTTTTCTGGTCCAGAAGCAATCTAAGCTCTCTGGTTCTCTCAGGTCAAAATTTGGATTTTACGCTCTATTTCCTGTTTCTTTGCAGGCTTACACTATACACCACAGGACATGATGCACTTAACCTGTGTCTTGAAATAAGTTATTTAATATATAAAAACTAAGGGTTATCATGTTATGCTGATGTTGTTTTGTTTTAACCTAATATACCGTGTTATCTTTGTTTTCAAATAGTTGGGTGAGAAGAAAAGGTGTTTGAGAGGAGCTTCTGGCAACTCAACTTCCTCATAGATCCTGTCTAGGTAAGCAAGATACCCTAAAAAAAAAAAAAATCTTAATTTTTGGTGCACAATTTAATTTCATTGTATTTAGTCGTTAAAATGTGCTTGTATTACCTATATCTGCTTTTCTTATATATCTAGCTGTTAACAATCATATCATACACTATTTTAGTTTTGTAGTATATATATATAGCTACTATCAATTTCCAGTCTCTTCAAATTAATTTGTTCAAGAAGATTATGGGTCTGTTTGATTTTTGTTCTTAAAAACAGTTTTTAAGTTTTTAAAACAAAAAAATAAAAACATCTGTTTGGGAATAATTGTTTTGCAAGATGCTTCTCAAAAAAATGACTCTTTTTTTGTTTTTAAAACCAGAAAACCAAAACAACTTGAGGATGTTCTCAAGTGCTGTTTGCGATTTTTTTTTTAGGCGGTGGCAAAATCATAATTATCAGCATTCATTAATGGCAGTTTCATAAATAGTAGATGGCATTTTTGTAATTCTAAAATTTTATTAATGGCAGTTTCATAAATATTAGATGGCACTTTTGTAATTCTAAAATTTCATTAATGGTATTTTTGTAAATAATTACAACTTCTTTATAACTTTAATTTAACTATGCTCAAACAAGTTTTTATGTTTTTTTACTCTCAAAATCAGTTTTTAAAATTCATATTTAAAACAGTTTTTGAAAATAAAAAAACTGAAACACTTTCAAACACACCCTAAAACACTTTCAAACACACCCTATATAATTGGTATTTGAATTTTTATAGTTGCAGTTTGATATAAAATGTTTAAATTCTTATAATGTTTACTTTTTACAATATTTAGATATGAGAAAAATATTTCTATTTTTGTTACAGGAAAATTTTTTCTGCCACACTCACATAAAAATGAATATGTGAGTGTGGGAGAGAAAATTTTTCTGCAGCAGAAACATTAAACCCTTTAAATATAATTTGAATTAGTTTTCATGTATTTGAAATTTGATTAAAAAAGAAATATATAACGGACAATTGTTATTCTATTTGCTTGATGATGTAGAGAAAAAAAGTAGAATGAAAGAAGGATCTAGCAAAGGGAGGAATGTGTGTCTAACGGTAACAGGTGTTGTGGTGGCAATTGTGTTGGTACTAGGGATGTTGGCATTAGTGTTCAGACCCCAAGAACTCACTATCACGGTGGATTCAGTTGAGCTTCAAAACATGGACGTGGGCTTCAATGTGTTTAAAATGAGTGTAGATTTGAACGTGACATTGGATGTGAATGTGTCAGTGAAGAACACAAATGAGTTTGGATTCAAGTCATCAGAGGGTAGTGCCCAACTCAATTATAGAGGGCAACTTATTGGTGAAGCCCCTATCCCTAGTGGAGAGGTATCACCTGGTGAGACTAAAGGATTGAACTTGACCCTTACCGTTATGGCTAACCGTTTTCTCTCCAATTATTCTCAAATTTCTTCAGATGTTACCTCGGGTGCATTGCCCCTCAACACTTTGATTAAAATTTCTGGTGAAGTTAATATATTGGGCTTTATCAAGTTCCATGTGGAGACATCTTCATCTTGTAGTTTCAAACTCAATATTTCCAACAAAACAGTTGAGGAGAATGAGTGCCAATCCAAGAGCAAGTTTTGATGGTGATTTCAATATATGTTTGCATGGAGAGAGTGGAGGAAAAGAAAGAAAGAAAGAATGTCAATCATGTTGTCCCTCAAAATCATATTCCCTTACTCATTTTTATCAAAGTTTTCCCGATTTGGAGAATTTTAAACATCTAAATTAAAGAAGGAAACTTAATCATTTATCCTATCATTAATTTGAATGATCATCTTCCATTCAATCCCCCAATTTCAAACATATCCTCAAATGTGGATTTAAACTCTATTAGCTTATTTATTCATATAATTATTAGTTTATTTTATATCATATTCACCTTGGTATGTGGTGTAATTGTAATTTGCAATACCTTCAATCTTGTCGCCTCTTGGGCTGCCCTAGGGAATTAATGATATTATCATCTCCATCTTCATTATTTTACCATAATATTACATCATAAATTGTAATCTCCAATCCTTTCCGCTATTTGTGTTTGATTATTAATTATAATAATTTTCTTAACCTTTTTCCTAAAAATAAACATTAAAAAAGGTTATAATTTTGATTCGAGGTAAGAATATAGGGGAAAATGTTTATCCTACAACATGAGATAAAGTTATCTCCAGCAATCCCAAAACAATGTCGTTTTGGGGTTTAGGAGAAAAGATACAAGGTATTTCAGTAATTTTACATTCTTTTTGCATAATGTAATTTTACTAAAATAGCATGTATTTTTTTTCAAACTCTCTAAACGACGTCATTTTGGTATTGCAAAAGATAATTTTATCTCTTATTGCAGGAGAAATGTTAATTACTTATATATATATATATATACACACACACACACACACACACACATAAGGCATGTTCTTTTTACACCAGTGTAAGACTAACAAGTCTTACATCACATCTCAATTGTTGATGGACGGAAATCATTGGTTTGTATTTGTAGTGTAATTAATGATTAATTAATATCAATTAATTCGTATGACTTCCTAAATTATAATCGTTGGATGCACGGAAATCAGCGGTTGAGAAGCGGTGTAAGACTTGTTAGTCTTACACTGGTGTAAAATGATATTGATCCTATATATGTATATATAGATATATAGGAAAAGTATTTCTCCAGTCACCGGAGATAAAGCTCAAAACGACATCATTTTGGGTTATAAGATTAAAAAATTATATTGATAAAGACTAATATAACCCTGCAATATATTATAATTACAAAAACACCTTGATTTCTGTCCCAAAACGACGTCGTTTTGAGCTCACTGGAGATAATTTTATCTCCGGTGACTGGAGAAATCCTTTACCCTATATATATATATGAAAAATGTACTTCTTATGTTGCTGCAAAGCTATTATTACGATTTACTACTAATGAAATTAAAGGAAACAAACTGGTGATGATTTTCTTATACATTAGGGTTGCTCTGACTCTCTAGCATAAACGAATAGGAGAGACTGTTAAGTTCACCTATACCATTGATAATCTCCCGAATGATGTCATAGTATTTGATAAGGTAAATCACACGTTATCCTCAGATAAATCTTATGCACTACTGTAGCACCGAGTGCTTAGTAGTACTTCCATCCAAGTTTTGACAATTAATTGTATTATTTTTCCATGTCATCTTTCTTACATGGCACTAAAATTTTAATTTGTAATTTTTTTATTTTCACAAAAATTTTGGTGGTTATTTTCATGTAACTCCCGCCACTCTTTTCGCCTGGTATGCTATCTTTTTTCTCTCATTTCAAGTTCCTCTACATTTTCTTTCATATTTCTTGCATCTTTCTTTTTTTGGAAATCAGAGGAAATAAAGGCAAGAACTGGAAGAAAAAAACACTAAGAAACTTCATCTTAATTTCAGCTAATACTAGCTAGTATAAGGCAACCATTCCAATGCAGTCCTTTGTGAGCAGGTCATAGCAAATCTCCGTGGGTGTTAGTTGTTCTTCCAAATGGGGAGTCACTAGGAATTCTCGTTGATACTACGAAGCATTGTGAGGTGTTGTTACACTTTGCTTTATGTCATTTATTGAGGTTAACCTTGAAGGGACATTTATGCTATCTGTTTGATGGTCGTTTGTTTTGTTCACAAGCAGATTGATATGAGGAAAGAATCAACAATACATTTCGTCGCTGGAAAAAACTACAATCTATGCAGTTTTGTTGCTGGTGCTGGTGCTGTTCTTGTCCATTGTCTTTTGTTGATGGTGTTGTTCTAGTCCCTCATTTGCCCAAATTGGAGGAGAAAGTCTACCACTCAGTATTTTTTTGTTGAGGCGTTTTAAAGAATTGTGTTGTTGCTGGTTCTGGCACTTTTTTTGGTTGCTGGTGGTGCATTTTTTGTTGCTGGTGGTGCCTTTTTTGTTACTTGTGCTGGAGCTATTTTTTGTTAAGGAGAAAGCCTACATTTCTGTTTATAGAACTGTTGTTAACCAAAGTTCTCAAAGTTAACTTGTGTATTTGGTATAAATAGTTCATGTTTCAGACATTTAACACAAATATGTATTTATTTTGGAGCTAATTTTGGATTAATTTTGTGCAAAGTCATCCAATTTACTTTTACAGCACATGTTTCAAGTAATTTCAAAAGGAAAAGAAGGAAAGAAATAAATTAGAGCATTAAAATAAATAGCAAATAAGGTTTGGAATTGATACTCAATCAAATTGTGTCTTGATATTGAACTGGACAATTACAAATAACATGATAATCCAAAAAGATTAAAAAGAAGAAAGATAAAACTGCTTGACAAACAGCTATTATCAAGTGAATTTTTTTTCACACAATTCATTATACATTAGGATCGTTTGCACTAGCAACCCCTATTCATAAATTCTATTTCTTTCCGACCACAACTCTTCATTTGATATGAAGAGACTTGGAGGCCTCAACAAACTTGTCAGTCTCCATAAGCATCCTTTTGCTCTATGACACCTTCTTGTAAAGATTCAACCATACCATGTCTCTTTAAGTCTGGAGATGTAAGCAAACATTTCAACTTTGTACCAGAACATCAACTTCATCCAGTCCAGCTTTGATCCCAAAAAACTTTTGCTACTTTTGTTCTGAAGTTAGAGTTGATTAAATAAAAGGGAAAAGTTCACCAATGCCCTTGTGGTTTATTTCAGAATCACGTATGTCTCTGTGGTTTTTTTTATCACATATGCCCTTGTGGTTTGCAAAAGAGTATGTTTTTTTATCACATATGCCTCTGTGGTTTTTTTATTTTTTTACAAAGCACAGGGGCATATGTGATAAAAAACCACATGGACATAGATGATTCTGAAGCAAACCATAGGGGCATTGGTGAACTTTTCCCTATAGCAAGCAGAATTTAATGTGAAAGTAAATGATAAGCCAGAATAAATCTTCATGTCACAGAAGCATGGTCAAGAAAACATTTGACACCCAGCACAATAAATTAAATCCTCCATCTTCACAGGAAAATTTGTTTAAGAATTTGTTTAACAAAGGGAACATATGGCCAAATAGATTTCACTCGGGATCATCCGATTGCACTACAGCAACCAACAAACTTCACTCAAGTCCAAGAACGTGCCTAGTCCCACTTATATAATTAACTCAACTGATCAATAATTGTTGATATAGGATACTTCATCAAATCATATAGCTATAGAACGTTTAATCACATAAAATTGTGATTTTCACTTGTTTTGGACACCTCTTGTCATTCAAATAATTTCTAGTAAAACAAATTTTGGATAATAATCCTTATTTTCTTGCTCATAGTCATTTCAACACCATTGAACAGACAATTTGGAAGAAGAGTAAAGCAATCAACCAATCTAAGCAATTTTATTTCCCAATAGACAAACTTTGATGTCTTTATAATCAATCAGAGCAATGAAGCTACAACAAAGGCAAAAAAACACATAAAGGCAACACAAGACATCAAAGAACACAACAAAAAAATAGGTGCAAAACGAATGGTGAGAGAGATCTAAACAAGATTGAGATTTCTGGGAACAGTGAAAAACATGAGGAGGAAAAAGGAAGGCACAAGCACAAGTTTCCTTTTGCACTGGATGAATTGTAATTTCATAAAAAGCAAGGAAAGTCCGCATGGGATAAAAATAACCAATTAAAAGTAAAATAAAAATTAGGGATAAAAATTACCAGTGTAGATCGAGATTTTACTACCAGCGTAGATCGAGATTTTCAAGCAAAGCCTCCTGGCGAAGATGGATTTTTCGGCAAACCTGTCAAGATCGGACTTGCAAAGGTGGAAGGTGGCAACGAAAAGCTGCACCTGAGAGTCATGGAAGTTGCTGTGTGAAGGGATGAAGGGAACGATAGCTGATTGCAGAGGCATGCTGAAAATAAAAAAATTAAAAAATTTTAATGCCATGTAATAAAGATGACATAGAAAAATAATACAATTGTCAAATCTTGGATCGAAGTACTACTGAGCACTAGGTGCTACAGTAGTACTTAAGATTTGTCTGTTATCCTCGCGTACTTTTGTGCTTTTGTAATTAATCTCCCTTTCAAGGTTTTTTTTTTAATCACTTAACCTCATTAATTTTGACTTAAATTAAAACATAAAATTTTTCAGTTAACTTTAACAGAAATTATTATTTATTTTGCACATTATTTTCATATAATTAATATTTTCTCAATTTACCCACATCATATAAAGTTTTTTTTACCACAAACTCTTCATAGAAAAATAAATGTTAGTGATTATATTGAAAAAGTTTTAAATTACCATTAAATTCTTTTAATTAGAAAAATTAACATTTTTAAGAAAGATTAAGTAACGTTAAAAGAAATTGAAGGTGATAAACTAAAAGATGACAAAAGTAAAACTGGGATACTCTCCGAAAATAGATTAATTAGTATTAGGGTGTGCATGCAAACTTTCTCATAATCAATTTTTTTTTTAATTTTTTTTTTGGGAACAAAAATGGATAGAAACAATGTTTAACAAAATCAGTCTATTTTTTTATTCCTGAAAATGAACTGGTTAAATTTCTGTGTTGGAAAACAGAAAAAAGATAAAAAAATTTCTGTTTTTTTATACACAGACACAAAATGAGAAACATTTATCTCTCTCAATTTTTCCACCATCACCACCATCCCGACACGACCATTACCACCATCGTCACCGCAGTCGTCGTACCACCACCGTCGTCGTCACCACCATCGCGATGCCACTGCCACCATCACCAACCACCACTACCGTCGTCGCAGCCACTGCCGTCACCACCACCACCATGTCATCACTACCACACCACCATAACCACTACCGCTGCCGCCACCATTACCACCACCACCGCTACAGCCACTGCCACTGCCACTGCCACGCACCACCACCACGCCATCACTACCACAACTACCATCACCACGCCACACCACCACAACCACTACCGCCGCCGCCACCATTTACCACCATCACCGCCACAGCCACTGCCGTCAGCATCACCACGCCACCACCACCACGCAACCACCATCGCCGCCATTGCCGTCACCACCACCACCACCACATCACCATACCACCGTCACCACGACCACTACCATTATCTCCACAGCCACTGCCGTCACCATTGTCATCATTACCACCACCATGCCGCAACTGCCAAGGTACAAAAATAAAAAGAATTATTTCTTTTCAGAAATAGTGTTAAAGATAAGAATGATTGTTATGTACATCTTTAGAGAAATTATTAGGTGTTTTTAACACGACACTCAATTTACCATCTAATGATTTTTTATTTTTATTTTTTTCTGGTTCGAAATGAATGACATTTGTTTTACACTAAGAAAACTGTCATTTTCGGGGGATATTTCTTCATTTATTATCATCGTGGACAGTGGACACGTTATCTACATAACTTCGGTAAAAGAACATCGCAAAGGGAAATGTTATTTGTATAATCAAAATAATTATATCATACTTACACTTGTATCAAACAAAAAAGCGGAGAGAATTGGGGTTAGAATTTATTTATTTTTTTACTTTTACTTTTACTTAAAAAGAAAATAATGTAAAAATGATACGTAAACATCATTACCCAATAAAAAAAAACGAATGTTATTTACGCATTAAAATAATTACATCATCCTTACACCTTACTTTTGCTTGGGAAAATAAAATATGAAGAGATGTCTAAATTATGCATTTATATATTTGTTGTATAATCTAAAAAGAAAGTATTATAAAATAATACAAGGAAAATAATGTGTAAAATCTTTATTTATATATTTCATTGTCATTTTTTAAATATTTTAGAATGAAGTTATTAACACTCTTAATCATTTACTCACTTTTTATAACTTTTTTTTTTTTTTGTGAGTATAAGTATTACTATTGTCATCTAATTAAAAAAAAGGTTTCATCTCTCAAGTCATATAAATGGAGTGTGTATTATGTATGTATGTACTTGTCTCTTTGGAATATGTATTGTGAAGGCTAATAATTAATGTATTCTTCTGAATTTATGCCTAATAAATGAACTTGAAAGAAAAAGTTTAGTGCTAGTTGGGACACGGAATGGCCAACTAGCCGCGCATTTAAGTTCAAGTCTGCATACTAATCCATTGGACCCCCCACAACAACAACCAACTACCCTTACATATTACATTATTATTATTATGGACTTATGGTTGGCACTTCTACATAAGCCATATTCATAGCTATCAAATCTCATTTCTAAAATCTATTAATAATCTTCACTTTAGCTTGTATATTTTGCTACTTCAGTTTTGTCAAAAGTAATGTATGAATTAGCATCAAAACGCAAGGCCATGACAGAGACTGAGACAGAAGATAAGCAAAACCAAGAGCAAGTGGTGATGATTTCACAGAAAAAGCTGAATAGGAGAGGCAAGTATGTGATTGCTATAGGGGTAGTGCTGTTACTGCTTGTGGTGTTTGTCATAGTGTCAGTTGTTCTTGCCTTGACACTTCTCAAGCCCAAAGAACCAAGGACTAAGGTTCTCTCTGCAACTTTAGAGGGTATAGCACCTCGTGTAACACTTCCTGATATTGACATACAAGTCAATGTTACTCTTGACCTCAAGATTCTTGTTGAGAACAGAAACCATGTAAGCTTCAACCAAGAAAAGGGAAAGAGTTTCCTTCTATATAAAGGCACACAAATTGGAGAGACAGATATCTATCCTGGTTTGATTCCTGCAAGGGGTTCTGCTACCATATCATGTAGGCTTACCCTACAAGCTGATGAATTAGCATCCAACTTGAGCAGTTTTGTTGGGGATTTACTTGGTGGTCAACTTCCTATGGAAACAGTTTCTAGGATTCCTGGAAAAGTTACCTTCCTTAGAATCATTAAAAAGCATATTGTTGCAAAGTCCAATTGCCAATTCGTTGTTGGTGTTCCTGACTTGAAGATCAAAAGCCAAATCTGCAAGAATAAGGCTAAACTGTAGGTGTTTTGTATGGTCACGTTTGTTTCATATTAATTTTACTTCTCACTATGAGAATTTCTGAGACATAAATATCAGTGTTACATATATATATATATATATATTTCTTAGTGATTAGATTACTTGTATTGTATGCTTATTTATGGTTCAAGTTTTGAAAATTTTGAGAACAGCATTTCCGGGAGTACTATTTATGTATAGTGCTAACTCTGACTTTACACTATAGGTATTTACTGGAAAACAGATAAATGAAAGGTTTACTGTTCATGGCAATATATAAACATGTGATGTGATGATTCAATGCAAAAGAGGAAGATCTTCTTCACTGAAAGAGGATCAAGAATATTCCTGACTTTATCTCTGCATCTGATTCAATGTTAGTGATTTTCTTTCCTGTAGTTTTACTCTGAACTAGGAATGGAGAGGTCTAAAACACACTGTACTTAGGTATTTGAGAATGCAGGCTATTATCAGTGGTTTCCTCAGCAATCCAACATGTATCATGAATAAATTAAGGGAAAAATCACAGATAGCTTATGATAGCTTCTCTCGTGCCGTAGACACAAAACATATGGGGCTTTTGTTTTTTGATTTTGTTTAAAAAAAAATATGAAGACACATTTTTTTTATGAGTGTGTAGGAGATATATTTTTTCTCGTGTAACATGAGAAAAGCATATCTCCTAAATTAAATACCTGGGTCTAAAACTCATATCAGCCTTTTATACAGAAGAAATATAGTGAGTTGCAATATCTATAATGTAAAAATTCATTGTAATTAGGAAAGAAAAAATGTTTTAAGATTGTTTTTACTTTTAAAAAAATTATTTCCACAGAAATATATTAGAGTAAGGACATGAAAACCAGAGCTCAATTTAAAGATAGAGAAGGTTACAAAGACACACATGGTAGGTAAGGATTTTATCAATCTTTTTGTGGCTTCATTCACCGATTGCGTAACACAGCATTGTTCCTCACAATCTTGGTGATTCATGTAATTTGGCTCAGATCACATGTTTGATTCACATAATTAGACTCTTTGCAAATGCTAAGGTAAAATTATCTACTATTTATATATAGAACCCCACAATGGTGTAACCCTTCTCTGCATAGCAGGAGGCAGGAGCTAACACGGGCTTGTGTTTTTAATGGATTTAATCAGAGTTGCTGTTTCCCCACATTTAATTATCATTTTGTTAGGCCACTGGTTATAGTTTTTGGGGCCTGGTCTTGTGCTTTTGTAAAAGTGGGCCTCTTGTTGGGCTGTTTTTCATTTATCCAGCACACCGATCATGTGCACGATTCGTGGAAAATGAGATAGGATAAACTTTTAGGCAGACATCTTATTTTATTTTTTTGTAGCGAAAGTAATTATTTCTTTGAGTTGAGTTGATTAGTATTCCATATATTTAACTTTCAGAATAATATTTTTGCAGTTACTGCAAATAAGTTATCTGCATTTACTCTTAAAACGACGTCGTTTTGGGTTTGAAAAATTAAATAATTATAATTTTAAATACTATAATAACCCTGAAATAAATTGAAATTACAAAAATATCATGATTTTCGCCCCAAAATGACGTCGTATTAGGCTTACTGCAGATAACTTATCTGCAGTAACTGCAGAAAAAACAAACCCTTTAACTTTTTGAGTCAGTTATTAGACTAATTATGAGTTTAAAGCTCTGCGTCCCCCCCCCCCCAAAAAAAATATATCAGAAAAATGTTTATGCAGTTACTGCAGATAAGTTATCTGCATTTACTCTCAAAACGATGTTGTTTTAGTGTTAAAATATTAAAAAATTATAATTATAAAGACTATTATAACAGTTTTTTGACCCTTTTGCCCCTCATTAATTAATTAATAACCAATTTGCCCCTCACCCAGAACTATCCACCATCCTACCCCCATTTAGTCGATTAATGTGAAGATGTAGTCGACTAAATTGTAAAAATACAGGAAATATGAACCCCGAAATTTAATCGACTACAAACCCATCTTGATCGATTAAATTTCGAGGAGATTTAATCGACTAAAAATGTTATTTAGTCGATTAAAGTGTGCTGGATCAGTTTTTTTTTTTTTAAAAAAACCCATTTCGCAAAGGGGGTTATTTTCAAACCCTAGTCGATTACAAACCCCCAAAACACCACCTCATCAAGAACTGACCGAAACCCCTCCCCTTGGTCATCCGATTGCACAATCAGAACTATCAACCTTGTGAAACTGAGTGGGTAGGTAACGTTTTGCCACTTGCATTGTGTTTTATGTTTTGGTTTTTTTTTCTCCTTTACATGATATTGTTTCTATTTTTTTTTCTGTTTTATGGTAGAACGTTGTTTGATTTTTTGTGGCTTTAGTTATTGATATTGTTTCATCAAGATAAACATTAGGGTTAGGGTTTTGATTTTGATATTGATATTTGAAACTTTTTGATGTTGTTATTGTCCGATTTTTGATACTGTTATTGTCCGAGTTATTGATATTGTTTCCACTTGCATTGTAGGTACGCTTGTCAAAATGGTTGGCTGTAGAAGACCAAGCAATGCCCAAGATGAGAGACGCACGAAGCAATGACAAGACCAGCCGTCTTCGTCAAGGCCACAAGACGAAGAGCCTGCTACTGTTGACCTCCCATTTGGATACTTGTTTGAGGATGACCCCTTGATTCACGCTGCATTTGTACGTGACCATGTGAACCGATCCTTATGTCCTCCAAAATCATTGGATACAACATTTTCTACGGCGGAGGGATTTCACATTGTGGCGTTGTTGGAGGCAGCACATCTTAGGGTTTTGGTTGAGATGTTGTGTCCGTATTCAAAGCTGATGGTGTAGGCCTTCTACCATAACCTCAGCTACGTACAGGGTGAGTTGAGGTTGAAGGTCTGCGTGGTGGACATCATCATGACGGCTCCGGTATGGTCGGAGATACTGGGCTATGACTTTGATGCTGAGAAGACTGTGGAGTATGACGCAGATAGCAGCGTAACACTTCCTGGATATTCTCTAGGTGATGCCGTGGATGAGGCCAGGAGGCCTGATATCGGACGTGGGAGGAACATTCACTACACGGTGGGGTTGCTTAGTGTAGAGTCCCGTATATTACACTGTGTCATCACCCACATACTGTTTCCGCGAGCTTTCAATCATTCCAGGGTGCTGTAACATGACATTCCTATCATGTGGGCTATTCGACATGGTGTGTTGGTGAACTTGAGGCACTATATATGTGGGATGATGTTTAAGGCCAAACATAAGGGTGCACTTCCATTTGCCTGTCTGCTATAGAGGATATTGGTTCACTTTTGTGTTCCCATGGACAATGAGCAGTTGAAGAAGACCACATGCTATAATTGCAAGTTCGGAAAGCGTCTACTAGAGCAGTGCAAGATCTCAAAGAACAAGGCAGGTGTGTGGCAGTTCACAGGTACGGTTGAGGTTAAGGTTGAGGTTCCTGATGTTGCTCCAGATGCACACATGATAGAGCCCGAGGTGGAGGATGATGATGACGATGATGACGAGACTGACTTGCAGGATATAGCTGAGCCTGAGGGTGGGTTTTCATTGCGTGATGTCATGAAGGGCATAAACGCCACACTGAAGAAGATATGAAAAATGGCGCCGAAACATAAAAAATGGAGGAAGAGTCACATCCAGAAAGGGAATGAAAGGTTTAGACACATACAGAAAAGGTTCAAGGGTGTGGAAGATAGGCTTGCTCGTCTAGAGCTTGCACGAGGACAGGAGGTTGAGGAGGATGCAGGGGAGGGGGCTCGTGTGTCAGATGAGGATGACGAGGAGACGACGTCCGAAGAGGAGGAGGATTAGATTTAGGGTTTATGTTTTTAGTTCATGTTTAGGGTGGACTTATTGTTATGTAATTTCCTTTATATCTTATTTCATGTAGGGTTTATGGTTTGTATTAGGTTTAGGGTCTGAACTATTTGATGTAAAACGTATTGTTATTTCGTTATAGGAATTATTTATCACTATTTATGCCCTTTTGAATGTTTACCAAATGCTGTGAATAGTACTTTTCCACTAACTTGATCAATTTGGTTCAAACCATAGCACAACAGGTAAAAACTTTCCATAGCAACTCAGAACAGTCACTAATATGCGTGTAAAATGAACTCCCCAAGTTTCGGGGAGCCTAAACCAACGTTTGCAATCAATACGTGCACATTTAGGGAATAGAACGTGGTGGCATAACTTTTCCGTCAGTACCAATGATAACACAAATATGAAATGTTCATTTAAAACTTTAATTTACTATCTTACCACTGCTAACAGGGTCAAAACGAAGTGGTGGCATAACCTAGGAACTCAGGTTTCCTGAGTTTGTGTCAGCGTCAAAATTCCCCTCTACGTCCGTATCTGAGGTGTCACCTAGCGGAATAACACTCTCAGGTTCACCGTTGTCATCACTGTCATATCCTCCTCGTGCTCATCCTAGTCTATTTTCCTCATTGTTATCTGACTTAAGACAGGTGCAGGTGCAGATAAACCGATGACTCTGTCTTCTTGACTCTGACTTCTTTCATGCATAGGTGCAGATGAAGATTGACCACAGTCTATTTCAACATATATTTCAATAAAATTTTGAAATTTTCGGTCAACAATTGCATCTATGACACATTCCACATCTTCATCGTCACATATATCGTTACCACTGTAGAATATAGCATCCTTACCAACTGTAGACTCTACCCTAGAGATCATCCGCTGAACGCATTGGCTGCCTTGTAGCCCCAATTTTTGGTGAATTCTCCCCTTCAGCTCATTGTACGTAGTGCCCCGTTTGATTTTTAACATTTTCGTTTTTCCTTCAAATTGAACACCATTGCAGCCTTCATAATGCTTTCCATCACAGTAGATCATTGTAACATACATGTTTGGACTTGAGCTCATCTTTCACACGAATTTGGGAGTAGGGTTCGAATTTTGGGGATTTGGGTTCGGATTTTGGGGGCAACAAATGAGAATATAAGTGGAATGACAATGATTTCACAATATTAAGGCTTTAGAGATGGTGGGATGAAATGCAATCGAGATTGGAAGGGTTACAAATGACAAACAAGAGATAGAGTGGGTTACAAAACAAAAATAATTTGAAATGAGATCGAGAAATGGTTGCATATAGGGTTTTCAGCGCACTTTAATCGACTAAATAACATTTTTAGTCGATTAAATCTCCCCGAAATTTAATCGATCAAGATGGGTTTGTAGTCGATTAAATTTCGGGGTTCATATTTCCTGTATTTTTTCAATTTAGTCGACCACATCTTCACATTAATCGACTAAATGGGGGCAGGATGGTGGATAATTCTGGGGTAGGGACAAATTGGTTATTAATTAATTAATGAGGGACAAAAGGGTCCAAAAACCCTATTATAACCCTAAAATAAATTAAAATTACAAAAACACCTTAATTTTCATCCCAAAACGACGCCGTTTTGGGCTCAATGCAGATAACTTATTTGCATTACATTAAATGCAGAAAAAACGAACCCAAAATATATTTGATGGAAATCTAGCATTCTTTCCCCACTTACTCAGATTGTGTCGCTAACTAAATTATACTCGTTTGGGTACATTTTTTCAACTAAAAACCAAGCTATTGTATGCAAACTTATTTTGGATCTGAGTTATAGGCTCCGTTTGATTTCTATTTCGTAAAACAATTTTCTTGTTTTAAGAATAAAAAAACAAAAAAACTTGTTTGTCGATCAATGTTTTGTAAAAGCAATTCTAAAAGCAATATCTTTGTAGTTTTTAAAATTAAATTTACAAAACACACTTATCATGTTTTGGTTTTGTGTTTCAGTTTTTTACTCTCAAAATAACAAAAACACGAAAAATAAGAGCTTCATTAATGACATGATGGTAATTATTTAAAAATAAAAAAATAAAAGTTAATATTGTGCCACCTCATATAGATCCCAATTTCAAGCTCCTGTAGCCTAGGTAGCACGGACACGCGGTCAACATTTGGAGACACGCGGTCATCTCTCCGACACGTTTTTTGACACGCAGTCAACGTTCAGACACGTTTTTTTTTTTTTTTTTAAAAAATCTTAATTTTATTTTGTAACTAAATGTAAAAGAAATAATTTATAAATTAATTTTTTTCTATTATGAAATTTGACATGAAAAATTAACAAAGTATGAAAAATTATTTATATTTATATTTATGTTATGAAATTTAAATATTTGATTGGTTATATGACTTATTATGGACTCTTATATGTATTAAATATAAATTATATTATATATATTAAAATTTTTATTTAATATCAAAACGTGTCCCAACGTGTCCAAATATGACATTTTTTAGAATTAACGTGTCGGCGTGTCGTGTCGTGTCCCTGTCCGTGCATCATTGCCCGTAGCCGCATAATGTGTTCTTTTGCCTTTTGGTCTTTGATGTGATCGATAATTTTTTTTTGTTTTTCTACTTTAAAACCACATTTTGGAAACAAATTTATCAAATGATTTTTTTTTGTTTTTTAACTTTTAAAACTTTTCAAAATAATGTTATCAAATGAATTTTTTTCATTTTTTATTCTATAAAATAGTTTTTAAAAATTATTTTATAAAATAATTTTAAAAATAAAAAAACTCAAAACATAATCAAACAAGTTCATGCTTGCGTAATTTGGTTGGACTCTGGATCCTGAATAAGCCTGACTTATGACAGTTAATATATAAGGGAATTTCAACACTCAATTAAATAAGAATTAAGGTGAGTTCACATAAAATTACAAGTCCCGTACATTTCCCCCTCATTTATAAGCCGAGTCCGTGATGTGACTCACGGATAAAATTTCTTGATCAAGATTGACCAACAACGTGAGAAGCTCCATCGATGACTATTAAGAAACCCTTCACGTTCCAAGTCAATAACCCATTTCATGAAGCTACCTCACCCTTTTCGTCTCATCTACAAAAAACCCAAATTGGACTCTTCAAAGTCAACTTCGATTCATCATATCCCCATTATTGTTAACCATTTTTAATATCATCAGCTGGTTTTTTTTTCTTTTCTTTTTTAAATTCTTTTAGTTTCTAGAAATTTAGTGAAAACACAAACACTCGGATAAAGACTTTTTTTTATATATATAATAGTAAAAATTAAATATATAATTTAATACAAATTATCTAAACCTCTCATCACTAGACAAATTCTAATGACTTATTCATATAATAACTTTTGTTTGACGGATAGAGAAAAAGTCAATGGAATCTTGCTCCCGGTGAACACATGGGGTTCAAAAGAGATGCCCGTAGAAACATTGTCACTAGTCTGCAAAAGGCATGATGTCAGATTTTATTTTATTTTTAGTTTTGGTGGATGAGATTACTTTAATGATTTTTATCTACCTCTAACAAATAATTTTGAATAGGAAAAATGTTTGTCCTTCTAAATGACACAATTTATATCCTTTCACTCTCACAAAGAGGTGGGACCCACACCTTTATATTTTTATGTCCACTCTGTCTCCTTCTTCGTCTATCTCTTTCTCTCACTTAAAATAACACAGCTTTTCATCCTTTAAAATGATACACACTTTTCCCATTTTGAATTTGAGGAAAAAACAAGATTCCTTATTCACGAGTTTTGAAGTTTATATGGGAAACGGTCGTTCGCAAACGCAAGCCATGGGAAGAGTCACCTTTGGTTGGCCACCAAACTCGCATGGTCCCTTATAATTATAGAACAACACACACACACAACAACGAAGAAAATTAAGAACCATTGGTTAAGATTTTCTACTTTTGCAATATTCACAAAAATCTATTAATGAATCCAACGCAATAAACCACTTCTTCCAATTCCAAAATTCCCCTAGTTCCCACCCATCCATCAACCCATCCTTGCATTTGCTTCTATTTCACGTGTACATTCCAGAAGCTTCTCAGGGTGTGGGTGTGGCCGTGTGGGTGTGGTTGTAACATGGGACAAGAGAAAACATTAAACTGCACATCTCCATCACGGTCGTTCCGTCTTCGATGTCCGAGTCTGAACTCGCTCCGTCTTCGACGAATCTTCGACATGTTCGACAAAAACGGCGATTCAATCATAAGCGTTGATGAAATAAGCGAGGCGCTGAACCTGTTGGGTTTGGATGCTGAGGTAACGGAACTAGAGTCCGTGACTATGAAGTACATAAAGCCAGGCAACGTGGGACTTTTGTACGAGGATTTCGTGGCACTGCACGAGTCCTTAGGGGACACGTACTTTGGATTCGTGGAAAACGAGGAAGAGGAGGAGAAGGAGGAATCATCGGACCTTTGGGAAGCGTTCAAGGTGTTTGATGAAGATGGTGATGGTTACATATCAGCGAAGGAATTGCAAGTGGTGTTGGGGAAGCTTGGTCTCGTTGAAGGGAATTTGATTGACAACGTTCACAGGATGATTGTCTCTGTTGACACTAACCATGATGGTCGTGTTGATTTCTCTGAATTTAAGGACATGATGCGAACCACTCTCGTACGCAGTTCTTGATTTCTATATATATATATATATGCTTTCAGGGTAAACGTACTCATTCTAACGTACTCATGCTTATTTCTTAGCTTTCCTTTTAGATTGTAAGGTTTAAATTTTCCTCTCTTTTTTTTTTTTTCGCTTTAAGGTAATCAATCTGTTTGATTAATGATATACCAGTGTTACGAGGGTTTTTTTTTTTTATGGTTATGTTTATCTTATTTTAAAAAAGGGATTGGGTCTCACCACTCTTTTTTCTCTCTCTCCTTAACCGTGAGTCCCACTTATACTTTTATTTCAGATAAATATTTTTCTACCACATAAGAAAAATATATTTTTTTTATCAGTGTTATAATACTTAATTAGGTTACATTAAAGGCTTTTAAATTTGAGATCTTGAAAGGAGGCCCATTCTTTTATTAGCCTATTTAAGATCTTGATTGCCTAGGCCCATTTGAGGTATGGAAGGCCTATATTATTAATCAATGCACAGTTTTCATATTTACTGCACCATTCAAGGAAGCAGAGTTGTCATGAGAATTCAGGCTTTTTGACCCATAGAACGCAAAATTATAAATATTTTATCCCTTTAATTTCTTTAACAAATTTTTATCGATTTAACGCGAAAATCTTGCAGTGCCCCATTCAAATCGCCCATCACCCATACATGATTTGTGTGAAAGTCAACTTGCATATGTCAGATATAACACATGCAAGATGCACATTGGGGAGTAGACGACTTAAAAATTGTACACGTTTTGCATAGCGTGATATAGGGTTGGTAAAACGGGTCAATCTGGTTCGAGCCAACCCAACCCGCATATAATCTGAAAAAACGAGTCGGGTTAAGGTTGGCTAAAAAAAAAATGAGGCAAAAAACCCAATCCAACCCGACCTGAGTCAGGTTAGAGTTGGCTCGCGGGTTGGCTAAAAAATATGACTCATGGGTTGGCTTGAAAAAACAGCTCGTGAATTAGCTCGAAAATTGGCTCGCGGGTTGGCTCGTTTTCAGCCTATTTAAATGAACTTGTAGTATTAATGCAGCTATGTGGCTTCCATCAGCTTAAACAAAGGGTTACAAAATGAGAAATAAAAGCAAAATATTATAGTTTCGAATTTTCTTCACAATAAATTTGCACCAACATCAAGAAATAATCAGAACCACTTGCTACTAAGTAGGTAAGATATTTGAACCAAATAGAGCCAGCACAACCTAACACAATATGAAAATAGCAGGGATGTTAGAAGATTAAGGACTTAGGTTTAGATAAGGAAGAAAGACGATGACAGCATGTATGAGTTTTATCCATTTTTTTATATTATATTTTATACTTTTTATATATGAAAAAAAAAACTCAACCAGTAAGCTAGCTCATTTGACCCACGGGTTGACTCGTTTTTTTTGAGCTGGCTCGGGCTGAGTTGGCTCGGGTTGACAACTCATTTTTGCCAACCCAACCCGACTTATTTTTAACGGGTTACGAGCCAACCCTAGCGTGATATATGACAAATGTGTATTATTTTTACACAAATAACAAAGAGAGTGATATATGACTTGAACTCACATACCTCTCATACTTTATAACCTTCGTAACATATTATTATCAATTTTAATCACAGTCAAAATGTGAGGTTTTCATTAAATATTATATGTTTTTTTTGATAAATCATAGTTATCTTTCACACAGAAGACAATCTTATTTGGGCGGGAATATTAACACAATATAAGAAAATGTTGTCTGGCTCAAAAATTACCAGAATTATTATTTAAAATAATGTAACAATTTAGTTTTATATAATTACATTAGAGATAAGTTATTCTGCCTACTCCTATTTTGCCTACCACATTCAATACCGTTCGATTACTATCTAATCCAACGGTCCATATTTGTGAAATAAAATAAAACTTTTTTTTTCTCACTTCCTCCCACACCCTTTCTCTCTCCTCCTTTTTTTCTCTTCCTCGGCGACCAAGATTGAAAATTCCGGTAACCAAAATCACTTCTTCCAAAACGAAAATAAATCTGTTTTCGAAATACCAGTAATTTAATAAGTTTATTAGTATATAGATTGTTAAATTTATTAAATTATATCACAACATCCAAAACCTCTACTCTTTAAAACCTCACTTCCTCCATAAACAACATGAAATCTGTTGGATATTATTGCGTCTATTCACCTTCACCGTCAAACAGCGCTCCACTTGGGCAGACATCAACGATAAAGGACAAAAAAATAGGTATAGCATGGAAAAAGAGAGAAAGGAAAAGAGAGAGAAATCGTGTGGGAGAAGGTGAAGAGAAAGAAAGGGGAATAAAAGATTTATTTTATTTCATAAATATGAACTGTTGGATTAGATTGTAATCGAATAGTAATAAAAAAGATAAGCAAATGTAAGCAAAATAAAGATAGACAAAATAATCTATCCCATTACATTATTAGTTAAACTTTAAATCTTCAAAATAACATTGATTAGGCCCAATTTTGTTTCCGATTTTATTTTTTTATTTTTTTATTTTTAGCTTCTTCGGAGTGATAAGACTGTTATGTTTCTCCTTTGACAGCAATTCTTACTTACTGTATCTCTTTTTATATCTCTTTTTAATAATTCGCTCAGACATGTTAGATTTAAGTTGTTTTCATCGAGATTTATCTTCTTTAAGAAAAATTGTCTTCTCAGGGGCAAAGCGAATATTGACAATTTTCAATAACCAATTTTGTGCGTAATTGTCTCCCTATTTCCTTTTATTTTATTCATGAATATTTTTGGCATTTTTATACTAAAGAGCGACCAGAACTTAGGGAGATTTATGTCTCTTTGTGAAGCCAAAGTCGAAAAACCCGCAGGGTCCGTGAATTTACAGTTGACACATCATATCACACTAATGACATATGTATATCCCCAACTTGATGAGTGTGACCTTGTACCGAGTTATTGGCAACACGGCACACGAAGATACTATTATACAAAAAGAATACATAATTTTTTTCAAATTATATTATATATTTTTAGAAGTATATAGTATAACCTAATGTATTTTTGAGAATACATAATATAAATTTTAAATAAAAAATTTATAAATATAATATTTCTCATTATATTATTGCTTTAATACTTTTTATGTGACTGCAAAATAAAATTTTTGCAACAACAGTTATTTATACCAGGATTTGTATATGAAATTTGGAATTTTTTTTTTAAATGACAGGATCTGCTTGCGAATCCTATATAAATGTGAGCTGCAAAATTTTTCATATGCAATGACATGAGAAATGTCGAACACTTTATATTTATTATTATTTTAAGAGGTGTTATATTATTAAATTTCATATTTAAAATTAGAGATTATGATAACCTACATTATATGTCTCCCAGTCACGGATTCTATTTCCACAATTATTCCCTTGACAACAATATATATATATATATATATATATATATATATATATATATATATATATATATATAGCACCAGAGAGAGTACTTCGTAACGAAGAATCATCAATTTTCTTTATCACACCACATGGAGGACTGCATAAATGAAATCCTTGAAGACACTTGGGCTGAAATTGATTGCAGTGATGAAGATGATTCATACATAGAAATTGAACTTGATACAGCGCCCACATGTTACAATGATGATCAGCACAATAACAGCCTCAAGGGAAGTTGCATAGATGATGATGATGATGAACGAGAGGAGTACCATTTGCGCATATCAATTTCTTCAACCATTTCTATTTCCCTTCCAGATGTTCAAAAAGAGAGTATTATTGACGACAATCCAAGAGTGGAAAGTCCTCAACCAGATGGCCAAACAACTATATTGAGGGCAACCCGGGTGATCCCCTATGATAACATTGATGTGTTATATGCTAGGTAAGTACATATATGGATGACATATTAAAAAACAATAATATACATGTATGGGAAATGATTCATTTATAAATTTTTTTTACAAATTACACTAAGTATGTCCGGTCGTATACTCTAAATTGAAGTATGACCGGTCAGACATAATCATGTTTGTAAATAAAAAGTTTGTAAATATAATTTTTCCCTACATGTGTTTCATTATGAAAATGAATCATGATAAGAAAAAAGTAATTGAAATTATCAATACTTAATCCTTGTATAACCTTAACTTTTAATTAATTCTCGACATTTATTCAAGAATGAACATGTGTGTGATTTTATTTTCTATGCGCTAGCCTTAATAGTGAAATTTGATATGCACGAGCAATTTGTTTTAAGGTTTAAAGTTTCTAGAAGATAAAACTATCTTATATACATACCTAAAAGTATATGATGTCTATATTTTTTTTCTCTTCACATGGACTCTACACACTTTTATGTATGTGTATGAGATAAAATTATATGTTATAATATGAAAAACTTTAAACCTTTTGTTTTATGGATAATATTTCTCTCAAGTTACATAAGAGAGAAATATTTTCTTACACTTACATACAATTGTGGGGCCCATCAAGAGAGAGAAAAAAATAAAATAGTAACTCAATTATCAATATGACTATGTGAGTATAGGAAAATATTTCTCTCTTATGCAACTTGAGAAAAATATTACCCTTGTTTTATAGTGATCTATCTTATTCAATAAACTATCATATCAAAAAATTTGATCAGCAAATACTATGATTTAATTGGACTAACAGATTAAAACTTTAGAGTTAGTACTCTTACAAGTTAAATGTTTATATATAGAATGTAGCTTTTGTATGATATCATTGAAGTGGTTGGCTTTCAATTAATTTCCTGCATTATTGGGCACATCGATCATGTATTCACTCCCATATATCAAGATTAATTTAATTGATACACAGGCATATTCTCAAGTTATTACAAAAGTCCCCAAATAAATGTGGGAGCTCTTAATTAAATCGAACAACCAAAATTAATATTTTCAATGCACTAGGAAACAACCAAGCTCGACAAGAACAACAACAACAAATGGGGTTATGATGAAGTTGTTGATCAAGTTTCAAGGTATAAAAATCGGGGCACTATTAGCATCACTCATAAAGCCACGACAACCCTGCCAAGTCAACAATGGACACAAGTCAAACAAAAAATCAAAAACGTTTTTTCAATGTTATCAAAAGGGGTTGGTCAATATTCC